AATTTGTTCAACATTATCAACGATTTTAAGGCCAAACATTCAATAAATACCATCGAACAGCCACCGTATTCACCTGATCTTGCACCGTGTGACTTTTTCCTGTTTCCCAACCTCAAATTACCACTCAGAGGAACGCGTTTTGAATCCATAGAAGACGTAAAACAGAATTCGCAGAGGGAACTCAAAGCCATACCGGAAAGCGCCTATAAAAAATGTTTTGATGATGGAGAAACGTTGGCATTTGTGTATCGCTTCTAATGGAGCATATTTTGAAGGAGATAAAATAAATATTGATGAAGATTAAGAATTTTGCGTTTTATTTAAAATTTCCGGAAACCTTTCGGTCACAATGTATATATGCATTTATATATATTATATAGATATCGCTTATTTTTAAATTCCAGCTAAACAACATTTAAATATTAAATGAATTATATATAAAGCAGTAAATTTATTTCAACTCGAAATTCTATAAAAACTATTTACTATTGACTTTAAAATGCATACTATGTCCCATAAATGAATACGAATTTAAATCTAAATAAATTACTACTATATTATGTCAAATAAAGAATTGAATTTAACATATATATTTCAGTATTATAAGAAAGAATTTTAATTCTAAATATTGGTTATATATTATATTAGAAGTTTCCATAGTTCTGTTAGTAAATGTTTACGCTTCTTTGAACAACAATTCCTGCTCTTCCGGTCTTACCATACAACCAACACTTCCGCTTTGTGGCAAGTATTTTAAGAAACGATTACTTTGCTGCTGCAATCGCAGCAATATATTGCAGCAACACTTTGCTGCACTTGACAATGAAACTGCTGTTGCTATGAAGAACTGTGTGGCGCGTAAAAGTTTTACTTTAGATAGGCGACTGAGTGCAGTACATAAAGAATATAAGTCATTTTACAAGGTTTGTAATGTATGTACGAGTACTGTACACTTTTCTGTTATGAAGAACATGGATGTGCCAGAGCAATTGTTGCGTGTACCTACATGTAGTAGAAGAACGAAAGAACGAAAACATCACAACGAAAGTAGTTTAAATAAATTTTTGTAATTTTTCTAATACAAACAAACGACTCGTATATATTATATTTTTTTGATAAAAGTTAAATAAAGGAAACCACAAAGCAAGGCCATCATCAGCAAAGCTCACGTTCTCGCGTGGTTTCATTTAAAATGTTGCGCTCGTTGATTTTGTATTGTTGGAATTCCGCATTTCGTTCTTGTTAAAAACTTCATGCAAACATTGTTTCACTAAATATGTTGCAATGTATCTTGCTTTCTATTTCGTGGGTACATTTAAGATATTTTGCACATATTTTGCACTTTTTCTTAATTCTGTTTGCCACATGCAAAATGATAAATTGCCGACACCAAAAGTTGTTTGGATTTTTTCCACTCACTTGCTCCTTTGCTGCTGGGAATTACAATCTTTTTTGAGTTATAAAAGGTGTTCTTCTTCTTTTAATAATACTCTGCTGAAATAATGTTATATTAAAATTGTAAATGAAAATAACAAACAATGTCTAAAGGATACTGTGTTTAATTACAAAAATACGAGTAATGCACAGAAGTTGAGAATATTCGTGTTACAATGTTTGTCTCAGACTTTATTTCATTGCGAGGTCTGTTTGATAAATCTGAGATAAATGAAAGGCATGGATTTTTTAGCGATTACCAATTTATTTTCTAAGATATGTAGTCTCCTTCAAACATCATCCAATTTTTCACAAAATATATCAAATATTTAGTTTTTTATGAATTCAGAAAAATAAAATATCTCAAAAATATCCATTAGTTACAGTAACATAAAAAAGATACAAATTTTATTTCAGCTTCAAACTTACCTGATATTTGAGAAAGTGATGTGCTAGTTCAACTGAATGAGTCTTATTCTAGTTTGGAACGCGAATAAAAAAATCGACTTTTATTTGCAAAAATAGCTATTTTTTCTTCAATTTGCTCTTATTTTACTATATTGATTTTTCGGAATTTTTTTAACCGAGATGCTCTTTAAATGCACTTTTACTGCATTTTCATTTTCAACTGGTACATCTGGGGCAAAATGTATAACACTTGAGATTAATATATAACACTAGATATGTTGCAAGACTAGCAAGATTACTATAAATTTAACAGCTGTTTTAAATAATTTGACAGATAAAGTGTGATTTGATTCGATATGTGTTTAAGAAAAATAATAATAATACTATTAATAATAATAATACTATTAATAATAATACTATTCATAATAATACAAACTGCTGTAGCATCCCGGGAATCAACCCGGTATACCAATGGAATATTTAAGGCAGCATCCTTCAGGAGTGAGCGTCGGTGGCACGGAGATACGGTGGGAGGAAAGCATAAAATATCTAGGGGTCACTTTTGACAAACGCCTTAACTGGTATAAACATATGAAATGCAAACGGAATAGTTGCTCTAAAATTCTACATCTCCTTAAGCCGCTGTTTAATAATAATCGTTCCAACCTCAAAAACAGAAAGTTATTATTTACTCAAATAATTAGGCCAGCACCACTGTACGGATGTGTAACTTACAGCAAAGCCTCAAATACTGCTATTAAACAATTACAAATAGCACAAAATCTGGCTTTAAGAAGACTAATTAAGATTCCTTGGTATATTAGAACAACAGACATGCATAGAGATCTAAGAATCGACTCAGTGAAAAAGTATATCAAGGACAGAGCCCTAAAGTTGTTCACAAAAGTTGATACGTTGCCCAACCCTTAACAAACTTTAAGTCCACCTCAGGACGCATTGGAAGATATGCTGATCTACGGTCTACCATCAGTTAGAAAATAAATAAATGACAATAATTCTAGTATAGTTAAAGTTTGGTGTGGGGCAGGGATAAGCCCCCAGCCAGAATAGAGTAAAAGCGCGCAATAGCACTAACTCAAATCACAACAACAACAACAATAACTATTGTAACAATGTTAGTAACTAAATTTGACAAATCAAAAGTCTAGATCTAGATTAAATCTAAACTTACCAATCGAAAACCCTATAAGACTGCTACATTATCGTTTTATGAAAGTTATATTCCACAGATTAATTTTTTTAATGTAAGAAGACCCAAAACTCAAAACGAGCTAAATATGGAGAATATACTAATTGTTGAACAATTCACACTTAAATGAGAGATTTTTTGAGCTATGTGAATTGGTGCATTATTTATTGACTATATTCGAAAAAATTCAAATATTTCCTAAGTTCACTGATGATGAGTACTTGGCAATACTCAAAACAGCGTTGTATGGTCAGCCAAATTTGAATAAAATAACTAAATTTTTGTTGTTGTCTTTTCATTTTTATTCGAACTCTTCTTACTTTGTAATATATTCTGTTCGTCATAAAGACACGTCACTCTTGGTAAGAAAAAATTAACATTAAAATAATAGTGTTATATTATTTTACTGTTGTTGTAACCAGAAACTACATAAAAATGGATGACCAAAGTGGCATAAAATGAGATGATAATAGGAATAAGGTAGCAGCAAGGGGAGTGTTAGTTTGGAAAGTAGAACCATTAGATTGGATACACATATGGATATAAAATCAAAAAAACAACGTCCTAGAACTGCAGTTAAACATGGCCTATTAATAAAAAAAAGGCTATTTCCCTTAATTAATAATGTGTCAGCTTATGCCTTTGTCTATTTTAAATTGGAAAATACAACAAAACATAAAATAATGATATTAATTTCCGCTTTACAAACTCAAAGTCAATAGAAAAGTTTATGCATTTTATCATCCTTCACCCGTATTGCATTTCTAATCAAAATAGTAAATTCTAAGTGTAATTTTGAAAATCAAAAATTCAAATATATGCTAATTTTATGTCACTCATGCGCCATGTAACACGTTTCAATAATGGAAACTTTTTGCGCTTTAGCAATTTATATATGTAAGCGTTACATACTTATATATTATAGAATAAAAAGCTGAATTTGATTCGAAGAATTTTTGTTTTAGTTATGAAAAATCCGCAAGCAACCTACGAAATTATTTCCATTTACAATGGTGGCAAATAAAAGAAATGAAATCAATCGCATAAATTTTGATTTCGTTTTTTCAATATCTGCATATCCTTATTTGCATATATTGCCTTCAATAATTTAAAAGCATCCTTCTTCTCTTGTTAAGAATATTTAAGAAATGTTATTGTTTTTTTCAATATTTTTTATAAAATAAAAAACTGAAACACATTTTTATTTTGACACAAAAATAAATATTTTTTTTATAACAAATTTTTCTTAAATAAATAATTTTCTGCTTGAAAAATAATAAAAATGTTTACTTTAATTCTTCCGATAATGATAATCTACATTCTAAGATTGAAGGTTTGTCTAATTTCACGCTAAAGTTAACGTCCGTGTAAAGGTCTTTTATTGAAATATAAAGAGTAATTACCAAAAATCATTCCAAATTCAAAAAGACATGAAACTATAGAAAATAATCAAAACTAAATTACTTCAAATGACACCAACTGCGATGGTTACTAACAAACGGAATCCAAACTATATGTACTTTAAAAAATATTCACTGGCGTTTAAAAAAAAATTAAATATCGTTTCAAAATATTTCTTTTAGTTATAGAATAGGAAAGAATAAGAAAAGATGCAAAAATTTAAGTCTGCAGTATTTAGTAACTATGCAGTAGTTTATAGCTGTAACCTAATAAGTATTTTTAAGTATATATTCCTAACTAAGTTTGCTATAAATATACATGCATATGTATTATTAGAATCAACTTTTATAGATATGAGTACAGATTTTCTGATGTGGTAAATCTAATGAAAGTGCAGTTGCACTGAGTAAATGTATATCAACGCATCTCTCTATGAAACTAAATTTATAAATAATTTTCTTGGAAACACTGTTAACTAACGTTTAATAGTTTCAATTTTTACTTTTTTCTTTTCATATTCTACGCCCTTCCATAAATAAATTCGCAGTCATCCGAATCGTCGAGCCTCGGTACGTGTCAGTACCTCACAACCACAGCTAGGATACAACACAAATGGCAACAGCAGTAACGCATCCAGTTGTGGCAGCGGTAGCAATTCTCGTTCATCACTACGCCAAAATATTGCAACTGTAAGTGGTAGTACCGCCAATGTCAGTGCCACTGGCAGTGGAAATGGCAATCATTTACTTCAGCAAAAATATCAAAGCACTTGCGAACAAGGCACACAAACGCCCGCATCCATAAGTCGAGAGACACGGCGACATAAATTGAAATCATTCAAGTTTCCTTTTAATAGTGTCCCAACGCCAGCACTGAATTTGCGGTAAGTTCGAAATTGCGTTGTAAGTGCACCGTGTTTGTTAGTTAGTATGTCGAGGTTCTACTAAATTAAAGGCGATAGGTTGTTTGCCACTTGAAAGGAAAAATTCAAAATTAAATGAATTTCAAAAGGAAATAAGTAACACAGAGTAAACTAGTTTTTTTTTACTGCTAATTAAGTATTATATTCAAAATAAATGGTTCAGAAACGTGCGAACAAATGGATTTTTAATACTCAAATTACGAAATTTTTGTGTACGAAGTATTTCGAGGACCTTCCTTCCTTCAATGCAGGTTGAGAGTAATTTGCTATTAATTTTTAAATTATTTAGAAAATAAACTAAGGCGCTTTTCAATATGCAGTACGAATTTGGTATTTAATTTTTAATATTTAAGTGCAAGCTTGTTGCAATGTTGTTTCTCAATTGCTTCTTTTACTGCAACCAATCTTAAAAGAAAGTATTATTCATTTGTACAGTCTTAGTAGAAGAGAAGTAGCGACAGTTAAACTTAGATTCAATATATTTCAACCAGAAAAACATATAAATTTAACTTCTTAAAAGCAAGTAACGCACAGCATATATATACTTATATATTATAATCTGCCATCCATTGTACACATCATAGTATTAAGAATTTTATATATTTTATCGTGAAATATCTAGTACATTTATTATAAGAAGTTGATGTTTTATGTGTAACTGTGACCACCTCTTCAATCGTTTCATTGAGTCTGGTGTCAAAAATGGTGAAAAAATGTTTTGGAAGTTGCTTTAGAGTCGTGGGCACGTAAACATTTCGGTCGTAGACCATGGATGTTCGAACAAGACTCGACACCGGTCTCGGTCTTATAAATCTCGTGTGAACCAAGAATGGTTAAGAAAGCATGTTCCACATTTCATATCGTCCACACAATATTTTACCGAATTCACCAGATGCAAATCCGATGGACTATTCCATTTTGGAGAGCAAGTGAGGAGTAAAAATTATACCAGTATGGATACGTTAAAGAAAGCCATTGTTCAGGAATGGGCCAAAATACCAGAAGATCACATTCGTGAGGCATACGACTAATTTTTTAACCTTTGGAAAGTCATAGTCAAGGCAAAAGTATGTCACGTCGTGCTAGAGTGAATGAATTCTGAAATTTTGATTATTTCACAAGTTTTTGTAATTCGAATCAATAAAAAATCACTTCACACAAAAAAGATAAAGTCGCTTGAATAGGTAACAACCCTGTAGATGCAACGAATGAAATCATAAGTACAGATTTTGTATCCAACTGCAAACCTATTTGCAGTACTACAAAGAATGTTTTGTAGAAGTTTGATTAATAATTGCATTGCACTATTTATAGTTTCATTCATTTCGACAACTAACAACAGATATATATTCTGAAAGTGTTTATTATTGCAATATTAAATGAATTTGGTGTGCTTTAATTATTGATTTATTGATCAATATTTATTATTGATATTCAAACAAAAACGAAAATGGAAGAGGAATTCAAAGAATCACTTATCAATTACTTAATGTAATCTACTTTTAAAATGAAAAAGTGCAATAACATTTCTTCTAAAATGAGTGAATAAAATAATATTATGTTATCGAATTCACAATAATGTCCTTTTTTTTTTTTGGTATCGAACCTGGAGGAAAAATCTGCTACAGATACAAATTGCACGTACCATTTGCATGCCCAATTCATGCACGACTCAATTGAATCATATGTTACATGCCTACGAACTAAAAAGTCCCCACATTCTCAGCTTAAAATACTGGAAATCCCTGCACTACGACCAGTTAAGGTATTCCTTCACAGGGCAGGTTAGAAGAGCATTTACCGTCCTTTCACTCCGATTATGTGCTAAGTATTTCGTCCACTCTAACAATGTTTATTGCTCTAGAAATTATGCACTTGTAAAGGATCCACTCTTCAATGCTTGCCAACGTCTGCATTATCATAGTAGAAGGACTGCCGTCACCAATTAGTGTCTTTAAATAAGGCTTTGTCTCCCGATTGTTTTAGGTATGTTTTGAAACTCAACCTCCCGTAATGTTTTGGGTGCTGCTTCTGTATCATATAAGAGTAATCTGTCGTTAAAATATGATGTAATTATTTTCAAAAGATATTCTGGGACTCTTATTTTCATCAGTGCATTTAAGATGCATTTTTAACATCTAAGATCACCACCGCGCAGTACTTCTTGGTACTACTTAGCCACCTTAAGCCCTTGGTAGAGGTTTGTTTTTGTATTGCCTTATTCAGAACAGTATTGGGGGATCACATCCAATCTAGAAGATTTATTGGGTTTAACTCTGGAAGAAGCAGCTATGACTTTAAAATTAGTGACCGGGGGGATTTCATTTATCGGTGTTTATCGGTATTAAAATCCTAAGTACTCCTTTTTTTGGGAACAATTGTTTCAAAATATTCGCCATTCTTTTAGGACAAAAAGATAGCGAGCCTCTTAACATTTTAAATTCACGCATAACTATTTTGTAGCCATCGCCCCAGACATTTTGGTCTACATCATTGATCACAGTTTGAGAAGTTTGGTTATTACTCCTAATAATTGCCGTTTTAAGTCCAGATCTGTGGCGTTGGAATTGCCTTCTAGAGACAAAACATAGAGATCTTAGTAAAGCTATTTCTTCTGTTATTATTATTGTTAGGGGATATGGCACTGCGGCCATCGGTTCTATTGTGCCTCCTTCTGGGCTTAGAGTAGGTCTTTAAGCCCTGTTGCGTTAATAAAAAATAGTATAGAACCTTGTTTACAGAGTTTTATTGCCTCTTCCGTAAGAATATACATTCCTATAAGCCTATTTTTTATGTGCATTAGCGCAGGGCATTCTATGTTGTTATAGTTACCAATAAGTGATTTGGATTGTTTTAATCCTGGTATATTATCCCAGTAGTCCTTTTATCCGCGTATTCGTTTTCGCGTACGCCAGTATGTCCAGGTACCCAAGGAACCTGGTTTGACACCTGATCGACACCTGATTTGTTTCGCCAAGCAGATTTAGCTTATCAAGACAGTCTAACACCAGTCTTGAGGTCACCTGATGCGAGTTCAGTGCCTTGATCACCGCTTGGCTGTCTGTTTGTATTGCAATATTTTTATCCTGGGAATTCCGTTCAATATTTCGCATTCTAAAATTGCAGAAATTTCCGTTTGAAAGATGCTAGTATTTTTCCCCAGCGCTTCCCAGTGCTTCTTATCAGTGAACCATGCGATTGTGCTATTTTTTAGCTGGTAGATTTGATTGATGCCCTCTCAACTTCTTTTGTTGCTTAGTTCAGTACTAAAAAGCTTAGTAAAGCTGAACTTAAGATTCATTGTGTCCCATGGCATTGAAAGTTCCGGACGCTGCTTCGCAAGGTTTTCGAATTTCTTTCTATTGAGCCAGCTATCCGTTATATTTCCTTTCTTCATTCGTAGAATTGCCTTTCTGATGTCTTTCTGATCTGATGTATATCGGCAAGGGTATGAGTTCTAGAAGGACATCCATGGATGCTGTTGGACAAGTCCGCATAGCACCCGTTATACATATTCACGCCAGTTTTTGTTGCCTGTTTAGTGCGTAAGTGTTATTCTGTTGTCTGGTTCCCTTTTCCCAAATGAGTGCCCCATATGAGATGATAGGTCTGATGATCGCCGAGTAGACCCATCGCAGTATTTTTGGTGTACATCCCCAACTTTTATCTTCTATGGATCTACAGGTCATAAGAGCCGTAGTGGTTTTCTTCGTAACCTCCTCTATTTGGTGTTTCCAGTTGAGTTTTTGGTTTTGATGTATGCCTAAGAACTTAACCGTTTTCTTTGTTTCTACCTATTTCTTCAATCCATCAATAATTTGGTGCACGCCCATTACTTCTTCCTTTTCTTGGCATTGATGCATAACAGATGTTCAACTTATAGTTACTTCATAAGGTGATTAGATTTTCCTGAAGCATCCCCATCTCCGAAACTCATATTCTCGGTCATGAATTTCATTACCTCTTGAGGTACTTAGTTTTCCAGTTTATTTGATATGCTTTTCTCTGTTATTTTTTTTAAATAAACTTCTGGTTTGTTATTTTTCATTGCAAACACCTTACTTATGACGGGCTGGTAAAGGTGAGATCTATGTAGGATACGCCACTAACATTTTCGAAGGTTGGGATATACCCATTATTCATTTGTGTTAGGTTTAGTGAGGTAAACGTCTATAATAGGGTTCTACCTCGGCGCGTCGTAATATTACTGCCTCATTCGACTGCCCATACATTGAAATCTCCTGCAACAGTGATGGGAGTTTTGTTTCTGACTGTTCTTGAAATTCTATCAAGAATCTCTTCAAATCTCTCTTAGAAGATATTTGGGGACAACAGAAGATAGACAACAGCAGATCGTATCTTTAAGTTACTATTACCATTCTATCGTCCAGAAAGCTAGCTTGCAAAAGCAAAGGATTTAAGGTGTATAACTACTATTCAAATATTTTATCCAAATATGTGTAACAGCAAATGCTCGAACAGAATATGCTGTTCATACATGTTCAAGTTACTCACTGTAAACAGGTATATTCCAACATAAAAACTGTTGAAAAATTAATTTGATAATTTCATATCAAATATGTGTACTTTTACGCTAACCATCTGATATGACATTTGAGTTTTAATTTTAAATAATGGTTTTTAATTTGATTTTTAGTAACTAATTATCATGTATTAAAATATTATTTTAAATAAGCATTTCAAATTTTTAATAACAGTTTTACTATTTGTATTGTAAATGATTCAGTTTCAATTTTTATGGTATTTAGAACATTTATGCTTTTTAATGAAAACTGTTTCCTACAATTTAACAAAAAGATATTACTCTTTTTGTTCCTCTTTCATTTTTTTATAATTAAATGTCATTTCATTTTTGCAACGCTCCATTAAATTATTATAAAAAATTATATAAATTTTTTTTTTGGAGCCAATATTTTTCAACTAGCGTTGTAAGTGCTACATTTCTGTAGTAACAATAAGTTTACCAATCAACTACAAGTACATCTATTATAGAAAGGATAAAATTTTGCAAAACTGTCATAATTTTTTAGATTTAAATACGCTAAAAAATTCATAAACTTTTGTGCTAAAGTGAAAACTAAAACTAAAAAGTACTTGAAATAACTGAAAGCAGTAAAAGTTTAAAAGTGTTTATGCCAACTCCTTCCGAAAAAATATGTGAAACTTTTTCGTATATTGTAAAAAGTTATGACAATAGGGAGCCAAAGTACCAAAAAAAAAATATTTTAGAATTTTCTAGACACGCAACGAACTCATAGAGGAAAAATTTAGTAAAGTTGTGCAAACAAATTAGGAGTGTTGAATCAATTTATGGAATATTAAAGACTTTAACCCACTACAGAGACATTTCCACTCGACATAAAATGACTTTGTAAAAATAATAAAAAATTAAAATTAAAAAAATTGGCATAAAATTAAAATATATATTATATGAAATTTATACTTATTTAAAAATAAAATTATTTTAAATTCATTCAATAACTTTATCGATTCTCATGCAGATTCCTTAACAGTCGCAACAAACGGAATAACCTCTCTGCCAATGCTGTTGCCACCGAACAGAAAGCCACCAAAGTGCTGGGCTTGGTATTTTTTACATTCGTCCTCTGCTGGTCACCATTTTTCATACTGAACATCTTATTTGCGGCATGTCCAGAATGTCACGTATCGGAACATGTTGTCAGTACATGCCTATGGCTGGGCTACGTTTCATCGACAATTAATCCAATAATTTATACCATTTTCAATCGCACTTTTCGGGGCGCATTCATACGTCTACTGAAATGCAATTGTGAGAGGTGAGTCAGAAACACAAAAAGTACGCAGCATTGCCAATCAAAAATAAAATAGAGTGTAATTGCTTATAAATTAAATTAATTTTTATATATTAAATATTAACTACAATAATCATATATTAAAAGTTATTTATAATTATGTAATTCTTTTTGTTTTAGGTGCTTGCATTGTCACCTTTACATTTATTTAAACTTCTCATTACGACAAGCCTAAACAAGCGTCTTCAGGTAACAGTATTCACTGTTACCTGGTTGCAATCGGCTTGCGTTTTTGTAAATACTTAGTCTAACAGCAGTTAACTTTTGATGGGGTTTTA